CTCTACACTTAGCCTCTGCACAGCGAGCGAGCGCTCAACTTACCCCCGCACGGAGCCGGGCTCAGACTTAGACGCTGTATGGTCGGGGGCCATGAACTTAGACGACATAAGGCCAACTCCGGGTAAAACCCGGGTATACCTGCAAAAGTCCAGGTTTACCCGAAAATACCTGGACGCGTCCCGACCAACGTATGCCGCGCACGACGCCATATCGCCTTCTCCCAGGGCCAGTGCGCTACTTGCGGCGCGCAATTCCTGCTCAAGTACGCGCACCGTACCATGTGCTGCCGCTATGCGTGCCGTAAGGCGGCTGCGGCGAAGCGGCGGGCGCGGCATGCTGATGGCAGTGCGGACGATGCGGTTGCGATGTGTTCTGCTTCAAGATCGTGGCGGTGCTTGGCATGGATATGCACTTCTGCGATCCCAATCAGCTCATCGCAACGAAGCAGCGCAACAAGCTGGCTGCTGCCAACAAGGTCCTATGCTTCCTACCTTCACGCGCGGATCGTTCAAAGAGGACCAGCATACACAGGCTTCTCTGACATGCGTTTGTTTGAGCTTGAGGCTATTTGTGAGAAATGTTTGGCTAGAGATTGCGCTCAAGAAGCAGCAACGAGAATCGGAAGGGGAGGATGCTAAGCGGCGATTGCTGAGGCATGAGGAGGATCGATCCGGATTTTAGTAGGCGCCCGCCGCAGGCGAAGAAAATTTGGGCGGAGCGCCGTACTGTATCGATCACGGTGGGAGCCTCTTGGCCCCCCAGGCCGTGCCACGGCCGACTTAGCCGATGTAAGAGGCTCCCGCTGATCTTAGACCGCGCAAGCACCCCAGCGTGCTTAAGCACACTTAGACCCGCTAGGCGTCGAGGCTCAGAACTTAGACTACTACCCAACCAGTGAGGGTGGGGTGTGGCGCAAGAACGACCTCGACCCGTGAGCCCTTGCTTGGCATGCCAGCAGGGGCATGTCATGCCTTGCCAGGAAGGCCGGTACTTCCACCTCTAGTCTACGGTCTAGTGTCTAGAGCCCTGAGGCGGCGAGATTCAGCGAGATTGCTGCGATTTGCCGGCTCTCGCGACGGTCTCACCCATGCATCTGCTGCACGAGACAAGGCGCACTCCGGGCGCTGTGGAGGGCGCAAAAGCGGGTTTCACGCCGCACATCCGACTAGAGAGTTGTAGTCCGAGGTCCGTACTACAACCCCAAAGTCGGACATTCGATGTCAATCGCTCGCGCGCGCGCCGCGCCGTTCTGTCCCCGCGCCGCCGCACCCCACGTTGTCTGCCATATGCGACGTCGTCGGGGAGGGCGTCGTCGCGGGCGCCAACGTGGTCATGCGAGCCCCTACGGCTGTCCAACGTCTGGGTGGCCAGGGGCGGGGGTCGAGCCGTGAGTGCTCCGCCGGGGCGAGCTTCTGGGTCCATGGCACCGCTGCCGGACCCGTCCGAGAGCCTCTCCGGACACGTTCGCTCGATGGCCTAGTTGGCGGCCGATATTCGACGACAAAAGCTCCGGACGCCGCGGCCAAAGATCAACGCACAGCCCCAGGACTCGTGGTGGGTGTGGGGTGTGCCTCACGAGGCGGAGAGGCCGCGTGAACTCCCGTAGAAGCTCGCGAAGTGCGGATTTGGAGCGCCGCGCCGGACCTCCGCCGGGGCCCGCCGGGGCCACGGGAGAGGTCAGAAATCGTTTTGGGGGTTAGCCTACTCAAAGCGGTCACGGTCCCGTCCAGTTTGGTCCCTTGGCCGGCCCTGGACCGCTCGGCACCGCGCGGGAGTGCCGATTTTTTTGAAAAAGCCCCAAATGCCAAAAGCAAAATGTGTCGTGAAGAAAACCTAAACCAGAGATTGCAGTATGCAGATGATAACCCCTCTAGCATTGTTTCCTAGATGATCACTTGAATGACGATCACGGCGCCTGCGCCAAGGGATCGATCTCGATCCCTCACCATTTGCGCGCGCACACCTCGCCCCACGCGCAGGAGACAGGACGCGGCGGTGGGTGCGCACAAACTCAGGGCCATGCCCACGACAGACTGGGCGCATATGGCACGCAGAGACCGATTGCAGCTTTGTAGCCCGTGTCTCGTCACGACTCCGCCCTCCCCTTCCCTCGCCTCGCTTTCCGCCGCTTCCCCTTCTTTGGCGCCTACGTGGAGATCGCCGAGATCGCCCCTTTCGCCGAGAGAAGCGGGGGGAGGGCAGGCCACGGTGCACACCTCTCTCCTCCCGACTAGTCCTGGGTCATCTGGACGCTCCTCGGCTCATCTAGGCCAATCTCGAGGAAGGAGCAGCTCGTCTCTCGCCCGAGATACAACCGAGATACAGCCGAGATACAATCTCGAGGAAGGAGAAGCTCGCGTCTCTCGCCCGCGTCGACCACTCACGGTCTACCCTCGACTGTATCTCGGCTGTATCTCGGCTCCGCTCAGCTCCTCTCGGCTCCTCTCGGCTCCTCTCGACTCCTCTCGGCTCCTCTCGGCTCCTCTCGGCTCCTCTCGGCGCACCTCCTCGGCGTCATCGCCGCCGCTCTTCTTGGGCTGCACCGCCTGTCCACGCCAATGCGGTCTGATTAGACGCAGCCCACACACCGCGCGCCCTTCCCCCCTGCTCTGACGCCGTCGCCTTCTCCTCCTCCGCCGCCTCGCCCGCCGCAGCCTTGTCCTCGGCTGCCTCGCCACTACCTCTCGCCGCGCCTGTGAACAGCGTCTCTTCACGGCTGGTGTGAGTGGGCGATGCTTCGCTCTCCCCGCGCCCTGCGCACCCGCGCCGCCGCCCGCGGCGGCTTCCGCCCCCTTGCCGCCGCCCTCGCTGCCGCCCTCCTCCTCCTCCTCCTCCTCCTCCTCTCCCTTTCCTTTCGCCTTGCCCTTGCCCTTGCCCCGCTTCCTTCCCATGCCCTTCCCGCCCTTGGCCACCCGAACCGCCGGCTTGGCCGCCGGCTTGGCCTCCCCCTCGGCGCCAGCCTGCAGGGCAAGGCGAGGCGCGAGTCCACACCCTAACCCTGACCCTGACCCTGACCCTAACCCCAACCCTACACGGGTGGTCTGTTTGGTGGCGCGCTAGGTGGTTGGGGCGAGGAAGTGGTGCGGGGCTAGGGCCAGCCCAACCCGCACTCCACGCCCTGAGACAAGACTCCCCGCGGCGTTGAAGGTGCAAGGGGAGAGAGAGAAGGGTGCGTACGGACGACTGTGCGTGCGGCGCTCTCCCCGAAGGTGCATGCTGTTGACCAGGTCCTAACTAAGCCGGCGCTCGACGTCGCCTGTCGAGTTCTGTGTCGAGTTGTCCGAGAGTGTCCGAGAGTGTCCGAGATCAGTCCAAGATCCATCGCAAGCAGCCCGGCACCTTCGGAGGCTTTCGCGGCGGCTCCGAGCCGCGTCCAATGTGGGCGTGCAGCAGCTGGTGGTGCTCGGCGACCTGTCCACACGGCGCGGTTTGAAGGGCGCCGTTTGTTATGCCGAGCGAGGCCATGGATCTGAGACCTGCCGCTGAAGCTCCGAGAGCTGAAAGTCGGCGTGGTGGCCGCTGGTGGCCTGAGTGGCGGAGTGGAATGAGAGGCGAGTTTTACAGAGAGGCATCGGTGGGAGAGAAATCAGCCCGAAGGAGCGGCTGGAGTGCACGAGACCGTGCCTGCTGGAGGAAGAGGAAGCCGACGGCGCCGGTGAGGAACACAAAGCCGCCGACGAGAAGAGCAACGCAGATCGGGAAGAAGGGAGCAGTGGGAGGCGTGTGCGTCACGACGACTGGCGTCGAAGCCTTCATCGGAAGTTCAAGCAAAACTTCACAGCGACTCCCGCGAGGACAAAAGAATTCTTAAGAGACAAGCCTCTCTCACAGCACACTGGCACGACAAAAGAAGAATTTTACCAGGCTCCCTCGCACAACACTGGGCACGGGACTCCCTAGGGTGGGCGACGGCTAGCGCATCACACTCCTCTCCTTAAAATCCCTGTGTGGTGGCGGCGTGCCGTCCTCCCATCCCTCCCTTGGGCTGTCTGTTTTCTTTCTTTCTTTCTTTGGGCACGGGACTGGCGCGCACTGGCACTAACACAGAAGAATATCCAGTGCGCACCAGTGTCCCTTCGTCCTTCCAAAATCCTGCTCGTGCAGGTGGGGATCCTGTCCTCCTCCCCCATCCCTCGTTTGCCTTTTTCTTTTCTTTCTTCTTCGGAGGTGGGGGGGGCGGCGCGGCGCGGCTCCGAGATAGCGCGAGATGGCCCGAGATTGCGCGGCGCGGCTCGAGATCGACCGAGAGATCGCGCGGTTCTGCAGCACCTCGGCATATCTCGGGCTCGGCGAGGTGGATGGGTTGGGCCGCAAGTTGGGGGCGAGGGGGCGACAGTGCTCAGTGCGGTAGATCGGTCAGCTCGGGGCGCAAGAGGTGGCCTGTGAGCCATCCGGCTTACTTACTCGACCGGCTTACACACACCCTGCGTTCTCGCACATGGTCATGGAGTGCGAGGCACCTCGATCCTGTACCGTGCGTGTTTGTTATGACCCCCCCAATGAGCTGGATGCACTCGAAGACTCGCTCTACATGTACATGTTGCGCCATGCGGAATCGACCCTATCCAGTGCTCAAGTGCTCAAGGTAACTCGTCTATGTGGTCTGTCGCCATCCCAAACTGTAATACGCGAAGCTCAAAATCGCGGCTTTATTTACCGCGAGAGAGCAACATTTAAGTTTTGTTTTAGGTTGTGGATGGAACATTTAAGTGGATCCAAGTCGCGCGCGGCTCCAAAGGAGATTGCCACCTCGAGAACCTCGAGAGACTTTTTTTTTCGCAGAGGGCAAGATTAATACGCGACATACATTAATCTTGCCGCAACAGTAATATTACGCGACAACAGTAATACGACAACAATGAGAGATAGGTGCTTACTAAGCTCTAAGTACGTAGAATGAGAGCGAGACTCAATGACAACATTTACTACGCGCGACAACATTTACATTTACTACGCGAAGCAGCTCCAAATCGCGACCGCTTTGTCTGGGCAGCCACATATGCGGCCGCGAGACTATGCAGTAGTAACGTTGGCGCTCACCATCTGCGTGCACGCCCTCCCTGATTTCCGGCCCGTTGAGAAGCGCGAGGAGGTGAACAGCAAAATCTTTCCGACAAACGCTGTCGCCGACGCAGATGCGGATCAAGGGGAGAAGCATGAGAGGTACCTGCCCACAGCCAAGGCGACGAAGCCCAAGGCACACCAGGCTTTTGGAAAGGTCCCCGCCGTCCGTGGGACGCCCTGCTCCGCTGCTTGCGAAGGCGACCCGAGTGCAGAGGCGTGTGCCTCGTGCTGCCGCTCGGCGCCGCACGAGATTGATTGGCATTGCGGCGGCGACCAGCCGGTCGGATGCTGCTTGGGCGAGTGGAAAGAGGCGTGCTGGGACGTCGGCTCGGACGAGAACAACGGCCACGCCTGCAACCAGTGCGGACCCGCACGACCTGCCTGCTCCGTGAGCAATCCGTGCGCGAGCGACGCCTTTTGCAACTTTGACAACGGCGACAGCGGCTTCTGCGAGGCGTGCTCTGATTGCACGAGCGCCGGATCCACGTGCGACACGTGCGGACTGCCCGCTGCCGGCGCGAGCGACTGCAACAGCGCGTGCGAGCCAGCCAGCTCCAGACCGACGGCCACCTGCGTTTCCAGCATCTGCAGCTGCGAATGCACGCTTCATGCTACAGCGATTCTTGATCCTGATGAGTTCTTTACGGATAATTTTGCGGAATGCCTTGAGGAGTTCCTTGCCGCACCAGTTTGTGATCCCAACCAGAAGAAGTCCAAGGCATGCGGCAACGGTCGCCGCCTTGAGGCTGGCGACTACACCCTCTCCCTCGGCCAGGCGCTTGCCGCCGTCGAGGAGCTGGGCGGTGATCTCAACGCGACCGCCACGCACAAGTTCGCCTTGCTCCGCGAGGAGCAGTGCGACCGCCTAGCCGCCTTTGCCGACGAGGAGGAGAGGGAGGGCCACGCTCATCTTCCCCGCCTGAAGCTGGCGGAACTCGTTGGGGAGGACGGCGCTAGGCAGCTCTTCGCCTTCTTCAAGGACCACACGGAGGGGGCCCGCATCACCAACATATTCATCCGCAAGATGCGCAGCGATGTTGGTACCCACCTCAAGCTCCACAAGGACACCGACACCAACATCCTCAAGGTCTACCTGGGCGGCGAGTTTGAGGGCGGGGAGAGCATCGGCGTCAACGAGCAGAGCGGGCTGCAGGTCTTCCCAAGCACGAAAGGGTCCGGGCTGGGTAGGGAGTCTGTGCCCGGGCGGTGTCCGGTGTGGAGTCTCTCTCTGATCCCACCTGTGATGTTGGGTGTGAGGTTGTGGCGGCTTCGAACCCAAGGGGGGGAGCTGATCCCACTCAGTAACCAACTCTCAGGGGCAGTAGGTGGGCGAGCTTCAAGCGCGCTCATCTCGAACGACAAGGCGTCGCTACGCGCGGTCTTCCGCGGGGGGAGCGTCGTCGACGGGTGCGGGACCGCGGCGCAGCCAGCGCTGCGGCGATGCCTCCGGCTGTTTGCGGCGGGCGGCTTGCTGCGCGCCGAGATGGCGAAAAACTCGTCTCGTCGCACACCAAGGGCTTATGCTCTGGCGAGATGTGAGGCGCATGCGCCCAGGTGCCAGGAGGGGAGGGGGCATGTGTAACGACGCTGCTAGAGATGCCTTTCGGGGCCCAGAGATAAAACTTCTGATGCCATGCGTGACCTAGTAGTGTCCCCAGCTATGGGCGTGTCCACGTTGGAGCCAGGTGTGGTGTGGGTGCGAGAATAGCTCCGCCGTTCATGGAGGCAACCGATGCGAGTGTCGACTGGTGTGTGTCGTCGTGGTTTGGTATCAAGAATACTCACTCACTCACTCGGTATCGGGTTGCGGGCAAGAGAGCCCTAGCCCTGGGGGATGCGCGTTCGCAGGGAAGGTCGCAGGGATGGGCCGTAAAGTAAACACGGTTCTCCGATTAGCTCTGCGCTGCGGGTTTCCCCTAGCAGCGGAACGCCCGGCGGAGGCGGCGGAGGCGCTGGATCGGGCCGCTGCCAGCGCGTCTCCCGCGTGCTCGTGTTAATGTAGTAGGCGCTGCCGTCCGGCGCCGTCGCCTCAATCCAGCCGTCGGCAAGCGGCGGTCAAGCCTGGTCCATGGCCGGGCAGGCGCGCCGCAGGCGAAGCGCTCTCGCGGCCTTGTGCCCTCGTCACGCTCGGCTCGGCTCGTTCACGGGACCACGTTTACCTGCCCTCACGTGGGCTCCGTTTACCTCTACCTCCGGCGGTCTGAGACAGGCTTACCTTTACCTGAGGCCCCCCACGCCAGCCCTACCTCTACCTGCGCCCCCGCCGCGCCCCGCCCTCAGAGCCGACACCAACGTGCCAAGCATTGAAGAAAGGAAAAAAGGCTCGCCAAACGCCGTGAGCGGCGAGGCGGCGCCGCGGAATGCGCCAGTCCGTGCAGAGCGTTTTGTGCACACGCCCGCACAGATCACAGATCACAAAGCCGCAGGCGAAAGGGCGCATGTGGCACACGTGCCGGGGGGTGGGGCGCGTGGGGAGGAGTGCAGGAGTCCAGGGGTGGGGTCTGGAGGCGCTTCAGCCAAGGCGTGCGGCGCGCGCCAAGACGTTGAAAGGGAACCAAAAGTGGTCCGAGCCGCCCGACGGGTGCTCGAGCTCCGCCGCCTGCAGCTCCTGCGAGATCTTGCGGATGCGCAGCCCGGCGCCGCGGTGCCGCTCCTCGAAGTAGTCAACCATGTCCTCGTTCCATTCGACCGCCTCCGAGGCGCCTGGCGCGCGCTGCTCGCACGCCTGCTTGACCTCGCCCATCTCGCCGCAGATGCGCACCGCCATCTCCGCCTTGAGGTCGGTGTACTTGACGTTCGACGCGGACAGGCGGACCAGCCGCTTCTTTGCGCGCGGCGTGTCGTCGCAGAACTGCACCTCGCGGAAGGACTGCGCGTAGATGATTGCGCCGCGCGGGTGTCCGAGCAGCAGCGGCTCCTACAGGCTCGGGCGCCACCCCGCGTGATCTGCGGGCAATCTCGCCCAATCTCGGCCAATCTCGGCCAATCTCGGCGGCTCCTTCTCGACCACGTCGACCAGGAAGGCGCGCGTCATGCGCGGGAAGCGGATCAGAGAGAGCAGCTGCTCGAGCTCGGCCTCCGACGGAGCGGGCTGCTGGTGGCGCGCCCACGCAACCATCGCCTGGAAGGCCGCGTCCTCGCTCTCGACGTTCAGGTTCATGTCGGCGAGCAGCGTCGCCAGCCGGGCGTGAGGCAGCGAGAGGAAGAGCGACTCCGGGCTCGACTGCAGCTTCTCAAAATCGCGCGTCGCCGACTCCCGCGCGTGCTCCTGCAGCTCGGCGAGGCCAAGCCGCTCGGCGAGCTCCCAGATCGCGAGGCAGTTGGAGGGCTGCAGCCGCTCCTTGAGCGCCTGTCGCATGCATTCATTCTTCACGACGAGTGACTCCTAGTGGCTGCGCCGCAGCCGTTTGAGCGCCTGGGTGGTCGCGCGCAGCAGGTCCTCGACCTGGAGCCGCGACGCCGCCTGGAGCAGCTCGGTCAGCATCGTCTCGGGCAGGCCGCACTCGCCGGTGTACATGAACTCGAGCGCCGCGCCGAATACCTCGGGGGACATCCCCTCGAGCTGCGCCGGACCGCCGTTCCGCTCGCGCATCACGACGCCCGCGCCCGAGTAGAGGCCCGCAAAGTAGCCGCTCGCCGCGGCGAGCACGTTGCGATGCCCGCTGAACGTCTCGGGGTCCACGACAATGGTGCAGTCGCACAGCGTGCCCTGCCGCCACTGCTCCACGAGCTTTGGCGGGTACCGATGCCCGCCCGAGACGGTCACCTTGAACGCCGCGTCGCGCGAGGGGCCCGCGCCGTCCGGATCGTTGTGCCGCGAGCGCTTCCGCCGGGAGCGGGAGGAGTCGGACATGTGATTCGGCGGCTTTCTCTTTTTCATGGTACTCGCAGAGTGTGGGTAAACGAAAGTACCGTATTCGGTACTATCAAGAAAGACGCCGAAAAAAGTCCGACCATCCACGACGAGCCGAGGGTGGTCGCTTTGCGCGGTGGGTTGCTTGGCTGGAGAGGTTGTTTGGCCGCTCCCTCGTCGCACGTCGCTCGCGCCTCGATTTCCCTCGACCCCGGCCGTCCCCCCGTTTCCAGCATGCAGGGCGCTGCCCAGGGCGCCACCGCTCAACGCGTGCCGAAGCGCCTCCTCGATGATGTGTGGCGCGTGCGCGCCACCGACGACGACTGCTGCGCAATCTGCCTGGAGGCCCCGGCGCAGCCGCTGATTTTGCTCTGCGGGCACATGTTTTGCCTCGACTGCTTCCAGACCTACGCCACGCACGCGCGCGAGTACGACGACGAGTGCACGCGCTGCCCGACCTGTCGGAGCCCGCACGCGCCCCCGCCTGTCGGCCAGGTCGAGGCGGAGCAGGTCGAGCGCGGCGATGCGCTCTTGGCGCGCGCCATGCGCATGGATCGGAGCCGCCCCAACTTCTTGCCGCTCCTCGAGGGGGCGACCCGCTTCTACGTCGCGGCGCTGGACTTGCACCCGTACTGCTCGAGGGCGCACGCCATGATCGGGTGGTGCCGGAAGGTCGCAGGAGAGGACTCGCTTGACGCGTTCGAGGACTCGGCGCGCGCTTGCCATGGCGCTCTGCCCGCGTTTGCCATCGTGACCCTGTGGAACCAGACGATCCTCGACTGGCTCGGAGAGAGCGAGAGCGCCCAGCGCATCGAGCTTGTGCGAGCCGGCGTGCGGGCTTGCAGCTGGCCGCAGGCTGTCCAGCGGGAGGCGGCGGGGACGGAGCTCCCTGTCGCGGAGAACGCCTACCGCAAGGCCTGCAGCGCCTTTGAAGACCTCACCTTGCCTCGGGTGCGCGAGCTGCTCGAGAACTTGCTGGCGGTCTCTACGCGCGGCGGCTGCGGCAGCAGCAGCGGCGGCGGCGGCGGCAGCAGCGGCGGCGGCGGCGGCGGCAGCGGCGGCGGCGGCAGCAGCAGCAGCGGCGGCGGCGGCAGCAGCACTACCACCCTCTCGAGGCAGCACTACCACCGCATGGTCGAGCTGTTTAGCCTCGTCCCGATCTATCTGCCGCTGATCGCAAACATCGTGCGCAAGCGCATCACCGACGCTGGCCTCGCGCTGGTCAAGAAGCAGTCAGCCAACGCCGAGGGCGACCTGATGGCGTACGTGCAGGAGCTGCTCGACCTCGACGGCGTGTACAGCGAGATCATCGGCTCGACGCCAGGCGAGGGCTACTTTAACGGCGACGCGACGTTTCTCAAGGCGGCGAGGGAGGCTTTCGAGGTCTTCGTCAACAAGGACATCGGCATGAGCGCCACCGCCGAGCTGCTCTCCACCTTCTGCGACAACCTGCTCAAAAAGTCGGGCGGCGGAGGCGGCGGCGGAGGCGGTGGCGGCGCAGGTGGCGCAGCTCCCCCCGCGGGGCTGAGCGCTGCCGAGGAGGCGGCTGCCGATCGGCACCTCTCTTCGGACCCCGAGCTGCGGCGGCTGTACCAGTCGGTGGTGGGTGGCGGGGCGCTCTCCACCGCCGACTTTTGGGCGCAGCGACGCGGGCTGCTGCGGGCGGCGATGCAGCGCGAGGGCCTCTCGACCCGGCGGCAGCAGCCCACCGACGCGGAGAGCTCGGCCGCCACGGCCGCCGCCGCGGGGTGCGAGCAGCCGGAGGCGAACGCCGCGACGGTGGCCTTCACGCTCACGCCGGCGATGATCGCGCGCATCTTTGAAAAGTACCCGAGGGTGCAGCGCTCGTTCCTCGACAATGTGCCGCACAACCTGTCGGAAGGCGCGTTCTGGCACCGCTACTTTCGGTCGCACGCAAAGAGGGAGGCGAGGCTCCGCGCCTCAGAGGCGCGCTTCCGCCGACCGAACCCTCCCCCTCCCCCCCCCACACCACCACCACCACCACCACCACCCACAGCCCGCCCTGCCCTCCCTGCCGCCACCTAGCCCACCGCCACCAGTCCAACCCCCACCCTCGCCGCCCCCACCATGCCCACCGCCGCCGTCGCTGCCGCCTCCATCACCGCCCCCCCCCCCCCCCTCGCCGCCGCCCCCGTCCCCCCCTCCGAGTAGCTCTCGGACGAGGCGCTCGAGGACAAGCTCGAGAAGGTGGTGCGGCTCTTTGGCTACCTGTCCGACAAGGACATCTTCGTCGAGTTCTACAGGAAGCAGCTCGCGAAGCGGCTGCTCCTGGCGCGCTCAGTGGGCGCCAGCGCAGAGCGCTCGATGATCGCCAAGCTCAAGCTGCGGTGCGGCGCGCAGTTCACCTCGAAGCTGGAGGGCATGGTGACCGACATGAACCTGTCGCAGGACATCCAGTCCGCCTTCGCCGAGCACGTCAAGGACAAGGAGCTCGAGCTCGACACCGACCTGACGGTGCAGGTGCTCACCACCGGCTTCTGGCCACAGTACAAGTCGGACGAGCTCAAGCTGCCAAAGGAGATGCTGCAGTGCGTCGAGACCTTCAAGGCCTTTTACGACTCGCACACCTCGCACCGCCGGCTGCGGTGGGTGCACTCGCTGGGCTCGGCGACCGTGGTGGGCAAGTTCACGGCCTCGGGGAAGAGCAAGGAGCACGACCTGCTCGTCTCCACCTACCAGGCCTGCATCCTGCTGCTCTTCAACGAGGCGGACTCGATGACCTTCTCCGACATCCAGGGCCACCTCAACCTGCCCGCCGAGGAGCTCAAGCGCTACGTGCTCTCGCTCTGCGGCGGCAAGTACAAGATCCTGACCAAGGACCCGGCCGGCAGGGAGGTCGCGCCGACCGACACGCTGAGCTGCAACGCCACCTTCTCCGACCGCCACCAGCGGATCAAGGTGCCGATGATCGCCCCCAAGATGACGCAGGAGGAGAAGGACGCGGCGCTGAAGCAGGCGGAGCTGGAGCGCAAGCATGTCGTCGAGTGGGCGATCATCAAGGTGATGATGCGCGAGAAGCGGGTGGAGCACGAGGATCTGGCTGAGCAGGCGCAGGCCTGGATCAGAACGAGGCCAAGCACGGGCTTTCACATGGCGAGGGATTACTTCGACGCGATGGTCGTGGACCTCATCCGCCGGGAGTACCTGGAGCCCGAGGCTCCCGAGCGTCCTCCCGGGAGTGGCAGCTTCTACAAGTACCTAGCTTGATGGCTCCAGCGGTGGCCTGACTGACTGAGCATTACGATCCGTCCGGACAGCATTCGCCGCTGACGTACGTCACGTCGAGACGGTGGAGGTCGAGGGCCTCGCGTACGAAGTTGTGGACGGATCCGATCTGTGACGTACGATCCCGTATATACGTGCATGACGGAAATCGCTTGGCGTAGATTTCCGCGGTTTTTTGTGTATCATATCGATTACCCGCACAATTCAAAACGCTTTCTCGTCCCTCTTTCTCGTCCCCGACTATTCTTGACCGCGAGAAAGCGTTTTGCCACGACCCGCTTTGCGCCGCCGCCCTCAACGCCCGATACCGGTTAGAGCCGGCGGAGCGACGGCGGCCCAAAGGTGCGGCCGCCGGCGACCTCACACGGCGTCAAGCGCCGTAGAGACGGCCTCGAGAGCCGCCACCAGGTGTGCCACGACCGCGGCCGCGAGGCTCGTGGCGATGGGTGCGCCAGACCCGCTTTGCGCCGCCGCCCTCAACGCCCGATACTCGATCAGAGCCGGTGGGGCGACGGCGGCAGAGTTGCGGCCGCCGGCGACCTTCCCCTCGACCACGCCGCCGACCCGTCGACAAGCACGCGTGGACTGCCATCGAGAAGAAGGAGAAGGAGGGCGGCGCATCCGGAGCCCGCGGGCGCGGCGTGGGCGGGCGCGGGCGCGGGCGGGCGCGCGGGAACCCCGCCAGCGGAGGCGGCAATGCCTCTGGCGCTCTGGCGGCTCTGCAGGCGGCGCGCGGCGCGCCCCTCGCCGGTCTCCCGCACGCTCCTGAGGGCCGAGAGGGCCGAGAGGCGGGGTCGGTGACCCGGGGGCATGGGCGGTGCGGCCCGCGCCGCGCGCGGGCGCGTAGCAGCCCGTGAGGGCCGAGATCGGGTCTGTGCTTCGACGTAGCATGGGCCCCCGGAGGCCCATCTACAGCAGCGGCGAAGTGAGCGTGTTTGTGGTGTTGGTGTGCCGTCTGAGCTTGGATCTGTGACTAAAGCCGCTTACCACTGATGGATCCCCACCCGAATAACACACAGTGAGCGCCCCAGCACTTCACTACGCCCTCCGCGCGAAATCGCTAGTGGTGCTTTGTGGCAGCACATTGTGCTTTGTGGCAGGCAGCACGGGTGCGGTGCCCGAGCGAGACCGCCCTCACGGCCGCCTGCCCGGTGCGCACCAGGCCGAGATGAAGAAGCACGTGGAGCAGATCCATGCGCCTGACCCTCAAACGAGCCCCCCCCAGGGTTAGCTATCCAGCCCGCAGCCCGTCCCGAGCATCTGTCACCGACAGTGCACAGCTTTTGCCCCGCCGCATTTCGCCCGCCGCAAAAAGGGGGCGACGGCGGGCGCGGCCCTCGCCGACAATGCCACTGCTCGTCGCTCTCCCCAAGTCCTCCTCGGACTCGGCAGCCGCATCTATCGCCTCAATGGGAAACCTGTCGTGGACACAGGAGCGCTTCCGCGGAATGTGCATGGTGCACTGGGATTCAGCAAGCAAGCGGCTGTACGGGTCGCTGCATCATGCAGATATGTGCAACGTGCACCCTCTGCGGATCAAGGCGTGGCAGTCCAACGAGAAAACGTTGTACAAGCAGCACCTGCCACCGACCAAGGCGGCGGTGCAGGCGGCGCTCGCTAACGGCTCGAAGACAATCGTCCTCCTCCGTAACCCGTGGTATGCGGCCGAATCCGACTGCGAGTCAGCCAGGGCGGGGGGCATGTGGCTCCACCAGACGAAGGAGAGCCACCTCGCTCATAAGCTGCTCGCGTACCGCGCGTTCGCCCGTGGCTGGCGCGATGCAGCCGCGGAGTATCCCGAGCAGATCCAACTGATCGAGTTCGACTCCCTGCAGGCTAGCAACTCCAGCCGCGAAGCTGCCTTTTCCTTGGCCCTGCGATTCTGGGGCATGCCGCGAGTGAGACCGTTTCGCGACTTTCACCACCACTACATGCATTGCGGGCATGCCTCCTGCTACCACGACATGCGCAACGATTCGGAGCTCGCCGCGACCCAAGCGCAGCTCGAGGCTGCTGGCGACGCGGAGGAGTGGTACCATTGGGCTGGTGGGTCAGATGAGATGGCTGGAGGCGCGGTGAGGGGGCTTCGAGGGGCGAACAAGTGCGCGATCTCACATAAGCTCGGCTCCCTCGATGAATACGAGGCGGCCCTCAGAAAGCGAGAGGCCGCCAAACGCGCTCCGCCCTCGGACGCCGCCTCCAACGACCCCACAGCGGCAGTTCAGCCATGACATCGGCCCATGAGTTCTCGAGATCGGTCATGTCATTCAGTTTCGAGTACGTTATTTCTTCTCGATAACACGGTCTGTGAAGCGGGATTCGTGGCCGTCTCACGACCCTCTCCCGCCACACCTCCCCTCTCGCCTCCCCCGCCACCACCTCCCCGCCTCTCCCCAGCCACACCCTGCGCCAGCGGTCTCAGCTCTAGCTCTCTCCACCGTTTGGGCCTTGGCCTTGCCCAGCGGGCGGGAGCTGTCGGTCGTACTGAGGCTCACCTCTGCCGCCGCCAGCTCTCTCCCCGTCTCGCCGCGACGCGGCCTTCAGGTCCGGCCGCCAACGAGCCGCTTCGCGCCTGGAGGCTTGGCCATCTTCGTCTTCTTTGGCGGCCGCGGCCGGGCGCCGCCGACCTCCTCCGCATCCTCAAACTGCGTGCACCGGTAGAGGGGGGCTGGCGCTTGCAGCTGGCCCAGCACGCGGCGCGCCCGTTCGTCACGGTCGCCGTCCTCGGCCGCCATCTTGCCTTGTCCGCTGTCGTCGCGGGCGGGGGCGGCGCCCCGCCGCCCCGCGCGCCGCTTGGTCTCAGGCGCGGGCGCGTCAAAGTCCTCGCCCGACTCGGACGCGGCCTCGCAAGCCTCGCAAGCCTCGCCCCGCCCTCGCCCCGCCCGCTCGTCTCCCGGATCGTTCGACGACGTGTCCGACTCGCCCCGCTCGCCGCCGGACGGGCGCACGGCGTCGAGCAGCCGAGCGACGCTGTCCAGCGTGCTGCCCTTGAGGCCGCTGGCCTGCTTCGCCGCGCGCACGTGCTGGGCCAAGCCCTTCTTGACCTGCTCGTCGCGGCGGCAGAGCACGAGGAGCGGCGTGGTGGAGGCATCGCTTGCCCCTACCGCGTACAGCGGAACGAGTCACGGTGTGGAGGTCACGGCGTGGGCCGGCTGCCGAATCTCGAGCCGCGCGCGTGCCTGCTGTCGCGCCGCCCTCCGCTGCGTCGGCGTCGGCGTCGTCTCTCGCCTGGCCGCCGCCGAGAGCGCCGAGGGCGGCGGCCAAGCTGCGGTCCGACGGCGGCCACGAGGCGGCGAGCGTGGCGAGGTTGCGGCGCAGCACCTTGGGCGGCTGGACGAGCTTGGACATGGCTTGCACCAGCGCCTCGCCGACCTGTGGTAGTAGTCCAACCTTGGTTCAGATCGGACCCCCATCCACGCCCAAGAAACTATAGCGGACAAGAGACGACCTGTGCCAGATCGGCCGCCCGCGCCGCCACGACGGTCGGGAGGAGCAGCGCGACGAGGCGCGCGAAGAGGGGCTGGGCTGCCGTGTGGCAGAGCGGCAGCAGTGCGGCGTAGGCAAGGCGGCACCAGCGGGAGCCCTCGTGCTTCATGACGGCGTGCACGCAGCCCCAAGCCCGGGCCGCGAGCTGCGGGTCCGGGTCGAGCAGGCAGGGGAGCACGAGCGGTAGCTCCGTCGCCGCCCGCAGCTTCCGCGCCGCGCACAAGTCGAGGAGGCTCGCGCCCGCCGCCCGCCGCAGCAGAGCGGGCGTGCCCTCCTCGCGCAGCGGGGCGCGCAGCGCCTCCTCGAGCAGGGGCTCCACGAGCCGCGGCACGCTCGCGACGAGCGACGCGACAGCGAGGCTCGCGCGCGAGCGGACCTCGGCCGGCTCGCTCCGCGCACACAGCGGCGCCAGGGTGGGGAGCAGCCCCTCGGCCACGCGAGGGTGGAGCTGCGCGATGCGGCCGAGAGAAGTCACCGCCGAGCAGCGCACCGGACAGGGCGTCGCGTGGTCAGTGGCGCAAGCCGCCAGACACGGCACAAATCTGCAGAACGGGTCTTCGTTGAGTGCCTCGAGCATCAGCCGCGCCTCCTCCTCCTCGAGGCGGGCGGAGGCGGACTCGCGTTCCATGTAGTCGTACTCGTCCAGCCCCTCATGCGCCGGCGTGGGCGCGGGCGCGGCTTGCTGCTGCGCCACGGCCCTCGCCTCCCTCCGCAGAGCTTGCCCGGAGAGGAGGCTCGCCTCGCCGACCGAGCGGAGGAGCGCCGCCGCGGCGCGCGGGCACGACTGGCCCTGCGAGCGGAGCCGAGCGAGCGGCGAGGCGAGCGCAGCAATCGCGCCGTGGCGAGGCTGGAGGAAGAGCACCTCCAGCGCACGGCGCTCGGCACCCGCCACGGCCAGCTCCACGAAGTTGCCCTGCAGCACCTCTTGGAAGGACGCCACCTCCTGATTCGCCGCTCGGCTCCCTGCTTCGGCCTGGGCGCCCCGCCGCTGCACTGCCAGCGCGCTCAGCCGCAAGAGCGGGTCGAGGCACGCGAGCAAGTTCTTGGCCGCACCACAGGCTTCCGCCGGGGGGGATTGGCACATCTTCGCCAGCTGGGCCACGATCCACTCGCTTGGCACCGCTTCCATTGCCTCGCCGCTTCCGCTCGCTGCCACCGCGGCGAGCAGAGCGAACGCCCACGCTCTTTGGCTCCACGCGTCGGGAGCGATGGGGCGCTCTGCCTGCAGGAGCTCGTGTGCGAGCGAGTTGCACTCCACTTGCGTGAGGGCCAGTCCGCCCACCAGCGAGGGCGCAACGCTGGAGCAGACACCCAGATGCGTCGGCGTGGGCGCCGCCGCGAGGAGCTGCGCTGCAGTGCTGCGTGCGTCACCGGGCCGCACGACGAGGGTGCGCACGAGGTTGAACAGGGCGGCACGGCCGGGGGCTTCGGCAGGCGTGGACAGGGCGCGGTGGATGACGCAGCCGACTCGCGCAGGCCCCAGCACCGCCCGCTCGAGGACCGTGAAGGCCTGGCCGGCTGGCGTGGCGGGCATTGCGGCGTGCAAGTCGAGTAAGTTGGTGAACTCGCCATCGATCGACTCGACCCACGCCTCGCACGCCGGGGCCAGCCGAGGAGCGCCGGCGTCCTCGCGTGCAGGGTCTGGCAGCGGCAAGGGCAGCGGCAGGCGGCGGAGGCCCCACGGGTTTGCGGCGATGAGCGCCTGGATCG